CAAAAAGTACGAAATTTGGTGGAAAATTGACGAAATTATGCTCTCGCGAATTTTGATGTGTCAGCGATATTTACGAATCGGCGATTTTGCCGACTTTGACTCCCATTTTAGGCCAATTACATTATTCCAATCAACCAAATTCTTAGCTATTTCACTAGTATTACTTCTATTCTATCGATTGAGCACAAGAAATCGCCAAGTCAACTGTTTCAACTACGAAATAAAGTGATCGGAAATTGTTAATTTGGCCAATTTAACACAAAGTTCAAAATATTCCAATTTCAAAATAGGGTCCAGAATGAACAATGTAGGCATTTCTGGCACTAAACTAACATTTCCTCTGTTCATTAGTTATGTTTTGAGGCTTTACAAATAAATTCAATTTTGATTTTTTATTCACATAATGAATTTTTATTCACACCAAAAAATAGAAGATTTACTGTTATGCAATACTGTAATAGTTGTACAAATATCATCACCATATTTGTGAATGTATATTAGACCCACCAGCTGACGTGTATTAGACGTGTGAGGTCGTTTGTTTACTCTTGAATATCAGCAAAAATTTAACATTTCTGCTACTTTGAGCTCAGTTTCAAGCCATTTCGAGTGCTAAAACCAATCAAAATTATCTCTATTTCTGTAATATGTCTTCCATTCTATCAAATGAGACCAAGAAATCGCAAATACAACTATAAAAAACATACGAAAAAACACTGCAAAGTTGCTGTTTTAATCGAAAAATCATGATTTCATTTTTTTTCTCTCATTATACACAGTGTGCTGCAGGATCTGTTTTATGTGGTGCACACATACCACATAGATGTATTCTCTCATATCTAGGCCCAAATGTACCACTCACAGTTTATCAGAGTGAGCTGAGCTCATGGCGTAGATCTACGGTTTGGACCCTGAACGTAAAGCCGTAGATCTACGGGACGGACCCTGAAAGGGTTAAACAACCACAGTGACATCACACATCCTTGTCTAAGGCCTACTTTTACTGGGAAATAATTTCCCTCTTTCCTACATACTCTAACTTGAGCCTCACTATCCTCGTAAAAACTCTTCACTGCTTTCAGTAACCTACCTCCTACACCATACACCTGCAACATCTGCCACATTGCCCCCCTATCCACCCTGTCATACGCCTTTTCCAAATCCATAAATACCACAAAGACCTCTTTAGCCTTATCTAAATACTGTTCACTTATATGTTTCACTGTTAACACCTGGTCCACACACCCCCTACCTTTCCTAAAGCCTCCTTGTTCATCTGCTATACTATTCTCCGTCTTACTCTTAATTCTTTCAATAATAACTCTACCATACACTTTGCCAGGTATACTCAACAGACTTATCCCCCTATAATTTTTGCACTCTCTTTTATCCCCTTTGCCTTTATACAAAGGAACTATGCATGCTCTCTGCCAATCCCTAGGTACCTTGCCCTCTTCCATACATTTATTAAATAATTGCACCAACCACTCCAAAACTATATCCCCACCTGCTTTTAACATTTCTATCTTTATCCCATCAATCCCGGCTGCCTTACCCCCTTTCATTTTACCTACTGCCTCACGAACTTCCCCCACACTCACAACTGGCTCTTCCTCACTCCTACAAGATGTTGTTCCTCCTGCCCTATACACGAAATCACAGCTTCCCTATCTTCATCAACATTTAACAGTTCCTCAAAATATTCCCTCCATCTTCCCAATACCTCTAACTCTCCATTTAATAACCTCCTCTCCTATTTTTAACTGACAAATCCATTTGTTCTCTAGGCTTTCTTAACTTGTTAATCTCACTCCAAAACTTTTTCTTATTTTCAACAAAATTTGTTGATAACATCTCACCCACTCTCTCATTTGCTCTCTTTTTACATTGCTTCACCACTCTCTTAACCTCTCTCTTTTTCTCCATATACTCTTCCCTCCTTGCATCACTTCTACTTTGTAAAAACTTCTCATATGCTAACTTTTTCTCCCTTACTACTCTCTTCACATCATCATTCCAACAATCGCTCCTCTTCCCTCCCGCACCCACTTTCCTGTAACCACAAACTTCTGCTGAACACTCTAACACTACATTTTTAAACCTACCCCATACCTCTTTGACCCCATTGCCTATGCTCTCATTAGCCCTTCTATCCTCCAATAGCTGTTTATATCTTACCCTAACTGCTTCCTCTTTTAGTTTATAAATCTTCACCTCTCTCTTCCCTGATGCTTCTATTCTCCTTGTATCCCATCTACCTTTTACTCTCAGTGTAGCTACAACTAGAAAGTGATCTGATACATCTGTGGCCCCTCTATAAACATGTACATCCTGAAGTCTACTCAACAGTCTTTTATCTACCAATACATAATCCAACAAACTACTGTCATTTCGCCCTACATCATATCTTGTATACTTATTTATCCTCTTTTTCTTAAAATATGTATTACCTATAACTAAACCCCTTTCTATACAAAGTTCAATCAAAGGGCTCCCATTATCATTTACACCTGGCACCCCAAACTTACCTACCACACCCTCTCTAAAAGTTTCTCCTACTTTAGCATACAGGTCCCCTACCACAATTACTCTCTCACTTGGTTCAAAGGCTCCTATACATTCACTTAACATCTCCCAAAATATCTCTCTCCTCTCTGCATTCCTCTCTTGTCCAAGTGCATACACGCTTATTATGACCCACTTCTCGCATCCAACCTTTACTTTAATCCACATAATTCTTGAATTTACACATTCATATTCTCTTTTCTCCTTCCATAACTGATCATTCAACATTACTGCTACCCCTTCCTTTGCTCTAACTCTCTCAGATACTCCAGATTTAATCCCATATATTTCCCCCCACCGAAACTCCCCTACCTTCTTCAGTTTTGTTTCGCTTAGGGCCAGGACATCCAACTTCTTTTCATTCATAACATCAGCAATCATCTGTTTCTTGTCATCCGCACTACATCCACACACATTTAAGCATCCCAGTTTTATAAAGTTTTTCTTCTTCTCTTTTTTAGTAAATGTCTACAGGAGAAGGGGTTACTAGCCCATTGCTCCCGGCATTTTAGTCGTCTCATACGACACGCATGGCTTACGGAGGAAAGATTCTTTTCCACTTCCCCATGGACAGTAGAAGAAATAAAGAGGAACATGAGCTATTTAGAAAAAGGTGAAAAACCTACATGTATGTATATATGTATGCATGTGCGTGTCTGTGAAGTGTGACCAAAGTGTAAGTAGGAGTAGCAAGATATCCCTGTTATCTAGCGTGTTTATGAGACAGAAAAAGAAACCAGCAATCCTACCATCATGCAAAACAGTTACAGGTTTTTGTTTCACAGTCATCTGGCAGGACGGTAGTACTTCCCTGGGTGGTTGCTGTCTACCAACCTACTACCTACACCAACCTTTCTTTTTCACATATATGCTTCAATGTAAACACTTGATCTACACATCCCCTACCCACTCTGAAACCTCCTTGCTCATCCGCAATCCTGCATTCTGTCTTACCTCTAATTCTTTCAATTATAACCACTTTTCCTGGTATACTCAATAAACTTATTCCTCTATAATTTTTACAATCTCTTTCGTCCCCTTTCCCTTTATATAAAGGGACTATACATGCTCTCCGCCAATCCCTAGGTACCTTCCCCTCTTTCATACATTTATTAAACAATAGTACCAACTACTCGAACACTACATCCCCCCCTGCTTTTAACATTTCTGTCATGATCCCATACATACATACATACATACACAAGGTAGTAGGTTGGTAGACAGCAACCGCCCAGGGAGGTACTACCGTCATGCCAAGTGAGTTTAAAATGAAAGCCTCTAATTGTTTTACATGATGGTAGAATTGCTGGTGTCCTTTTTTCTGTCTCTGAACATGCAAGATTTCAGGTACGTCTTGCTAATTCTGCTGACACTTAGGTCACACTACACATACATGTACAAGCACATATATACACTCCCCTCTGGGTTTTCTATTTTCTTTCTAGTTCTTATTCTTGTTTATTTTCCTCTTATCTCCATGGGGAAGTGGAACAGAATTCTTCCTCCGTAAGCCATGCTCGTTGTAAGAGGCGACTAAAATGCCAGAAGCAAGGGGCTGGTAACCTCTTCTGCTGTATATATTACTAAATGTAAAAGGAGAAACTTTCGTTTTTCCTTCTGGGCCACCCCGCCTCGGTGGGATACGGCCAGTGTGTTGAAAGAAAGAATATACATACATCTACCTACCTACCTACCTCCCTCACTCACTCACTCACTCATTCGCTCTTGCATTTGTATGACTTGCAAGTAGTCCAAGGTGTACTGAAATGTCATCATAAGCTTCTCTGTCCTAAGTGTTGGTTATTTGTATATACTACTACTATTTTTTTTTTTTTTTCCAACAAGTCGGCTGTCTCCCACCAAGGCAGGGTGACCCAAAAAAGAAAGAAAATCCCCTAAAAGAAAATACTTTCATCATCATTCAACACTTTCACCACACTCACACATTATCACTGTTTTTGCAGAGGTGCTCAGAATACAACAGTTTAGAAGCATACACATATAAAGATACACAACATATCCCTCCAAACTACTACTACTAATAATACTAATACAGTATTCCCTCCTGTATCCGTGGGTGATGCGTTCCAAGCTCTACTGTGGATACCTGAAACCATCGATAGTAGCGAACCCTGTATATGTCAGTTTTCGTTTACATACATACCCATGATAAAATTTAATTGATAAATTACGTACAGTTAGTTGAGAATTAGCACTGCTTCACAGATGGGAAGCACTTTATGACCTCTCTTAGGCTTTCAGCAATTGGCACCATCACAACTTCTGTGCTTTGGTGTCGTTATTAAGGAAAATTAAGGGTTATTTTCGATCCATGGTAAACTGTGGATAACCTGAATCTGTGGATACAAGGGTTCTACTGTATACATTTTGAGGGGATTGGATTGTTCTTATTCATTTTATTTTCTCATTTTCAGCTTTGTATGAGAGGGCGAGTTCATATTTTCAAATGGTTAGAGATGGCAGCAGCAAAAGAGGATAAGAAGAGAGGTATTTTGACAACTGAAGCTGAGTTTCGAAAATTACAGTTACGAAAACCATCTTCTTGCACAGATTTTAGGTATGGTTTATATGTACTTTTACTAACAGGATGTACACTATTATCAATAACTAACCAGATATATAGTTTTTGTATGTTTTTATGATTTCTGCTTATGTATACTGTAGTTATTTTTGAAGTATTTTGACCCCAACACTTACTGTTTTTGTTGTTAGGTTTGGTCATAATTTTGTATGATATATACAAATTTTTAGTGTTTTATATCTAATTTATTGAGTTTGCTTCACTCATGTATAATATTATTAAATACCCGTATACTCAGGTAGTCAAACAACCTGATAAATTCCTTTCATAACATTGATAATCCTATACATTTACATTTTACTGGGTAAGTAGGAAATTATTTTGTATTTAATTGCATAAAAATTTATACTTATACCTGAATGAAGCATATATGTGAACAGTATTTAGATAAAGGTAGGGAAGTTTTTATTGCATTTATGGATTTAGAAAAGGCATATGATAGAGTGGATAGGGGAGCAATATGGCAGATATTGCAAGCATGTGGAATAGGTGGTAAGTTACTAAATGCTGTAAAGAGTTTTTATGAGGATAGTGAAGCTCAGGTTAGGGTGTGTAGAAGAGAGGTAGACTACTTCCCAGTAAAAGTAGGTCTTAGACAGGGATGTGTAATGTCACCATGGTTGTTTAATATATTTATAGATGGGGTTGTAAAAGAAGTAAGTGCTAGGGTGTTCGGGAGAGGGGTGAGATTAAATTATGAGGAATTAAATAGAAAATGGGAAGTGACCACAGCTACTTTTTGCTGATGATACTGTGCTTTTGGGAGATTCTATAGAAAAATTGCTAAGGTTAGTGGACGAATTTGGGAGTGTGTGTAGAGGTAGAAAGTTGAAAGTGAATGTAGAAAAGAGTAAGGTGATGAGGGTATCAAATTATTTAGATAAAGAAAAATTGGATATCAAATTGGGGAGGAGGAGTATGGAAGAAGTGAATGTTTTCAGATATTTGGGAGTTGACGTGTCAGCGGATGGATTTATGAAGGATGAGGTTAATCATAGAATTGATGAAGGAAAAAAGGTGAGTGGTGCATTGAGATATATGTGGAGGCAAAAAAAATGTTATCTATGGAGGCAAAGAAGGGAATGTATGAAAGTATAGTAGTACCAACACTCTTATATGGGTGTGACGCTTGGGTTGTATAGGCTGCAGCCAGGAGGCGGTTGGAGGCAGTGGAGATGTCCTGTCTAAGGGCAATGTGTAGTGTAAATATTATGCAGAAGATTCGGAGTGTGGAAATTAGGAGAAGGTGTGGAGTTAATAAAAGTATTAGTCAGAGGGCTGAAGAGGGGTTATTGAGGTGGTTTGGTCATTTAGAGAGAATGGATCAAAGTTGAATGACATGGAGAGCGTATAAATCTCTAGGGGAAGGAAGGCGGGGTAGGGGTCATCCTCGAAAAGGTTGGAGGGAGGGGGTAAAGGAGGTTTTGTGGGCAAGGGGTTAGGACTTCCAGCAAGCATGCGTGAATGTGTTAGATAGGAGTGAATGGAGACGAATGGTATTTGGGACATGACGAGCTGTTAGAGTGTGAGCTGGGTAATATTTAGTGAAGGGATTCAGGGAAACCAGTTATTTTATATAGCCAGACTTGAGTCCTGGAAATGGGAAGTACAATGCCTGCACTTTAAAGGAGGGGTTTGGGATATTGACAGTTTGGAGGGATATGTTGTGTATCTTTATACGTATATACTTCTAAATTGTTGTATTCTGAGCACCTCTGCAAAAACAGTGAGTGTGTGTGAGTGAGGTGAAAGTGTTGAATGATGATGTAAGTATTTTCTTTTTGGGGATTTTCTTTCTTTTTGGGTCATCCTGCTTCGGTGGGAGGCGGCTTACTTGTAAAAAAAAAAAATCTGAATGGGGAATTTCACTAAGACATTAATTAAATTTTGCAATAATAGAATATCAAGTACATAAATATATGATAAAACAACATCAATACAGGAAAAAATTATTAGAAAAAAAAAAGGATGTTTGAGGAATTTAAAATCTCTGTACTATATATTGTGATGATGGTGTAAATTTACTGATAGATTAATAATCATTATTACCACCTTTTTACATACACAGTAAATGTATGTGTGTGAATTGTATATTTTTATCTGGTTGGACAATGTTTGAGAGATTTTAAACTACTGTACTGGGTTCTTTTAAAGGGAAGCTTGTTGTCTTGTGAGAGTGTAGCCCTTTTAATGTATGGAGTAGTGAACGACTGACTAATTCTAATGTTTCTCAAATTCCAAAGCATCTTATCCTGCATTTCATATATGTTTGGGCAACATACTGTATAAATAAGAGAACATGAAATTCTATAATACTGTATAAATAAGAGAACATGAAATTCTATAATACTGTATAAATAAGAGAACATGAAATTCTATAATACTGTATAAATAAGAGAACATGAAATTCTATAATACTGTATAAATAAGAGAACATGAAATTCTATAATACTGTATAAATAAGAGAACATGAAATTCTATAATACTGTATAAATAAGAGAACATGAAATTCTATAATACTCTATAAATAAGAGAACATGAAATTCTATAATACTCTATAAATAAGAGAACATGAAATTCTATAATACTCTATAAATAAGAGAACATGAAATTATTTTTTTTAGTTAAGTAATTTGAATTGTTCAACAAGGATTTCTAGTGTTGCAGGGTAATACTATACCTGAAATGTTGAAGTCCTCTACCTCTCTTTGTGTTATTCTAACCATCTCTAATGTTTGTACTTGTGTATTAATTCTTCCATGAGTAGGAAAAAAGTTGGCTGCTATATAGCAAATGCTTTTTTTAACAGTGTAAGCCACTAAAACTATACATGCTTCACTGTAATGATGTAGAGTGTTTTCTGCTAAATGTAATGCCGTTTTTGATACAGTGAAGACGGTAGTGTTTAGCAAGATAAATATTGCCAAGCTTGGTGGCTTCTCTCTATTTGAACTGTCTATATACTGTATAAATAACATAAACTAGGCTTTATATATAGCATTTTGTTTTAAGTTGGAATTGTTGCAGCACTGTTACTACTAATTGTATTGTGAAAATTTGTGTAATGTCCAAGACACTTTAAGCAGGAAAAAAGCTTTACTGTATGACATTTCACCCATAGTGGGGTTCTATCAAATACAATACCCTGTATTTGATTAAGCTTCGTTGTGGGTAACACAGCGCATGATAAAAGTTTTACTCTGCTGAAAGTGTCCTCGAAATTACCACTTCTTGGTACAGTGGAACCTAGAGTTTCGGCCACCCCCTGTTTTGGCAGTTTTGAGTTTCGGTCACTTTTTGGGGCTAATTTTTGTCTTGAGTTTTGAAAAGTACATTGAGTTTCAGTTACCATACCAGACCTGTCCACCTGCCTGCGCCCACACAAAGCATCCCACGCATGCGTTGAGTCAGTCTGGCTTTGTTTCTTCTCGAGTGAACATTACCCTGCACTATCATCCAAACATTTCACAATAATCCATTGTTTTTTGTGCTTGTTGATTAAGTGCGACTGCTACATAATTAACCATGGGCCCAAAGAAACTTCCTAGTGCCAGCCCTTTGGTAAAGAAAGTGAGAGAAACAATAGAATTGAAGAAAGAAATTGTAGCAAAGTATGAAAGTGGAGGAGGAAGAGAGAGGGGAGAATGTGCCTTCTTTAGTGATTCTACGATATGTATGATACTAAAGCAGCAGGAGTCGATAAAGGCAATAGCGCCAGCCTTAACAGTGTAGCAAGTAAGTTGAGGAATTAAGCGATAGAAAAAGGACACGAAACTAACTCCTCCAGTGTTATTGGAGGTATATAGGGCCACTGACAACACTGCCGCTGCCACTACCACTATATTGCTTATGCTGCCAATGGCCCTGATAACCCAGCACCACCACCACCGCCACCACTTGTGACATACGTAATGACATATTTTATTCATTCTGAAGTATATATCATGTTTCTATGTTATTAATATTGTTTATTATGTCATATTAGATCAATTGTGATAGATAAATAAGCAGTAGAGTTGATATTAACATCATATTGAAGGAGTATCTTGTCCTGTCTCCGAACAAACTCTTCTTCTTCCATAAGCCATCAAGAGTCATCAGTAAAGGTATGTAATGTTTATATTTATTTACATTTATTTCTCATTGTTTTCTGTATGTAAAACTATATTTATTCTTTAAAAAATTAAATTTTTGCGAGTATTTTTGGGTGTCTTGAATGGATTAATTGGATTTACATTATTTCTTATGGGAAATATTGCTTTGACTTTCGAACAGTTTGAGTTTCAGCCGAGCTTCTGGAACGGATTACTGACGAAACTTGAGGTTCCACTGTATATGCATTATCCATCAAGATAATTTGTGATCATACTACTGTATATTGTCCTCATACTACTGTATATTGTCCTCATACTACTGTATATTGTCCTAATTTGTGGTTTTCCACAATGGCCGTTGTATAGCAATAAGATACTGAAACTCAAGAACTTTCTATATACTATATTTATACTGTAGTCTGTTTAGTCCCACAAATAGAGAAAATAGTTAGCTTAAAGCACAAATTATGTAGTAATAGTTGTTTTAGTTTGTGTGTTGGTGTTAGCAGTACAGTACAGTATGGTACAGTGAACCCTCTAATTAATGGACTAATATGTTATTGTCTGTAAAGTCTGAATTATGAAATTAATTTCCTGTGATTGTGAGAAACAGAAAATACTGATTCAGCAGACTTGGTCCACTGATCCAGTAGACTACTGGATGCTATAAATACAGGTATTGTAATCTGTAAAACAGTACAGTACTTTACAGATACAGTACAGTACTGCATTGTAAATACAGTACTGTATCTGTATAGCACTGTATAATACAGTAGTACCTGTATTGTAAATCAAAAAAAATAAAAGTACAGTACTGTACATGTACAGTACTGTTCTCTATAGTAATTTTATAGTATATAGTATACAGTAATTTTATTTATGTTTTTGTGGTGGAGAGATAAGATGTGAATGGTTTGTTTCTTAACACATACCACTAGGGCACTACCCTTAACCTTCCTGATTAGTTCTAGTTTCTGCTTAACACTGAGAGCCACACATTTCCTCTTAGCACTACTCCCTGCTTTAGAAGCCAGTGTTAACTGTGATTAGTTAATATGTTGATAAAGTCAGAAAACATTGCATCCTGGGAAAATTGGAGACTAAGTGATGAGTGTATGTGTGAAGGAGCACAGACAATAAACTGGCATGGGTGCCTGTGACTCGAGGAACAATGAAAATAGACAGATTTGGGATGTGGACACAAGTGTAAGAATCATTGGACTTAGTCTAATGATTCAGAAGACAACCAGGCATTTTTGTTATGGATAAAATCCGTAATAACAAACTTTTTTAAATTTTATCTGATGATTCCATTGTATGTCAGGCTATTGTTTTTGTCCATAATATTTGAAATCTATTAAATGGCAGTCTGTTAATTAGAGGTTTTACTGTAGTTATTATGAACAGTATCTTCAAGCATTAAAGCTTTGCATAGTTTTATGGTAAACCACTGCCAAATATAGTATAATAGTTGTCTGATTCCAGTTTTGTGGGATTTAGTGGATTACCATCCTTTATTAGTTTTCATTATTATAACCTGAGCATATGAAACCTAGTACTGTTAAATAATCTAACATTTGAAACCTTAATTCATCTCAGGAAAACATTTTATCTGCGATTGAAAGAAGAGTGGCACTTAGGGATATTAAAACTTAACAGACCATATGTCTTTAATTTTTGTGTGTTATACATTCTTAATTGGTAATGTATAAAGCTGAACATCAAGTAGAAAATTGTCAAAGGTAAAGGTGAAACAGCCACATACATAAGGCAACATAAATAAATACTTTGGAAATAGACATCTTTTATACCTCAATTTTTAGGGAAGTCGAGGAATCTCCGTCAGAGGTCAACAAGGAAAATTTAGATGCTCTGGATTCTACTCTAGCCAACGTGGGGTGGTCGCTACCTCTCCTGCATTGTGTGGTGGCCGTGGTAGTTGTAGTACTTGTAGCCTATGTAAGTTGTGAGGCATGATGTGTGTGTGCGTGTGTGTATATAGCAACAGCTAACTCGGTAAAGCGCTTTAACAATTAATTCTGGAAGGCCTTGTACAAAGCAACAGCAACTTCAAGTTGTTCAGCTGTTTTCAAGCTACTCACAGCTAACCCAAAGTTTGGAGAAGGAACTCAAGGTAATGTTTCAGTCAGTCTTGGGCCATTATCAAGTCAGCTGATTAATTAAATGTGAAAAGTACCTAAAGACAAGTCAGGTGAGGAATAAGTTAGAATACAAGTTGCCTAAAGTTTCCTCACTAAATTGTGGGTTAGTTGTGATTTGTTCCAGCCACAATATTGCGACTTTTATTTTTGAAGCCACATTACATAAACTTTGACGCTGTGGATGTAGACTTTCTGGTTATTTGAGATTTAACAGAAATGTTTTTATGTAAAAAATATTTGAACGTATTGTGAGGCTGCTGTTGTTGACCTTAAAATGGCAAAATTTTAGCCTGGAATGGGAAAACTAATATGTACTTTTTAGTTTACTCTCTTGTCTATGCACCTTATTTCATACTTAATGATTATTAGTCTTATATTTTTGCTAATGAATTCTCTCTTTTTTTTTTTTTAAGCTGAGCATTTATGAATACTAATATGTAGTATAAATACAGGATAAATTTCCAGCCATGTGAGTTTAAATATATTCTAAACAAACATTATTAATTAAATCTTTATGCATTTCTGTAATAAACTGGTAATTTTATAATTTACATACTGCAGTGATGTAATATAGAATTTGTGCTAAAAGTGAATTGAAAATGAGATGTAGAAATTACCCCCATCTTCCTATCTGCCCATTAAAGTGATTATTTAGCTGCCTGTTAAATAATCACTGAGGACAACTGGCCTGTTGCTCTTCATTTTTAAGGGCCACTGAGGAAGGTACAAAGGGTATCATATCTGCATCCCAATTAGTGGATGGAGGATCAAGCTTTTGTATTTAATCTTCATTTTAATACAGTGCACTTTCAAGAGGTTTTCTGTATCTGACAACTATTTGGCAGACATTCCTATTGTCCTACATTTTTGCCTTAGTCTATTTGCAGGGATATCCCATTATCTGTTGTCTTTCCCATAACTGAAAATTGAGGCATTTTCTCAACATGATTGTTCTTTTCCTTAATAATTAAGGAATTTTAAAAATTCGATACCTAACGTTAAGAGAAAGTTGTTGGAGTAACAGTTATATGTGTAGCTTTATGAATAAATGAGGGATAAGGAATGCAGGTGAAGCACTATCAGACTTCACCTGTTTCTTTGCCTAAGTATTTTTTATCCAGATCAGTTTGGATATATTAATGAGATATGTGTAATTCATAATAATTTTGTACTTGTAGTATTACAAAAATGTGGTTTGTGTTAAAGTAATGAATAATTCTCACAGTTTTTGAGTTGTACTTTTTCTTTGTTCTAGGTTTGTGAACGGGTTCTTCGATCCCCGACACAAGCGTAGTACGATGGACAGTGGGTATAGTACTTGTGAAAGTGTTGACCAGAGATGGTCAAAGGAAAGTCAAGAGGTGAGTATCCAGTACAGTTATAAATATCTTCTCAAGTGTAAGTTTTCTTATTCCTTTGCAAGATAAATTTGGAAAATTTGTTACATGTATCTCACAAAATATTGATACAGGTATTGTATTTTCTGGCATATAAGATGAATGAGCATATAAGACACACTCCAGTTTTGACAGGCATATTCTAGGAAAACTAAAAAAAAAAATCCAGTACTTGCTTCAACATGAGAGTGAGTCAGTGGCTGGCTCTTATGCGCACAGCATAGATGAAAGAGGTGGGACCTTGTGCAACGTGTCTACTCCGCCGCCACCAACCACCTAAACAAACATATCTACCTGTTGTTAACAGATAGCTACTCTACAATTATTTACAAATGTAGAAGTTGTTTACTTATTACATTTGGTAATATGTAAATTATAAGTTGTAATAGTTACTAATCACTGAAGTAATATGGGAAACACTTTTGTAGAAAGAAGGAGCATTTGAAGTTTAGTTTATTAGTATCAGCACTGAAACCACCACTTACTAGTAACCCAAATCTTACTCTCATTCCTGACCATGAGCATATAAGATGCAGGGTGATTTTCTGAGACTCTTGGGGAGAAAAAGCATATCTTATTTGCTGGAAAATATGGTAATTGCTTACATTGAAAATGGTTTCAATAATGAGAACACTGTGTATCAAAATTTTTTGTTTTGTGTTTAGAGCTTGGAATATGAAGACCCACGTAAACTGGCTGTTAGGGCTGCTGCATGTACCAAGGAACAAAGACAAGAACGGGGTCGTAGTGGCCCTTCATCTCGACCAGTCAACAGTATTCCTAATGGGAGCATTAGTCCAGGGGTAAATGGCTCTCAAACTAATATGGGGCAGGGAATGAATGGCTCAGGTTATAGTACACAGCCACTTGGAGAGCATACAACCAGTGGTTTGTCAACACCAAGCACACTTAGTCCAGGCGATGGATTCAACTTAGAAGATGAATTCAATAAGGTAATGTGCTGCATTTCAAAGCTCAGGATTTCACGATTTGGCCCTATGTAGTCTTGATCATACTGTATTTTTAAAAATAGCTTGAGAATTATTTCTCCTTATTTTTATCTTTGTGATTAACATCTCATAGCAGAATTAAAGTCATGTACAAGCACAGGTTGTCTCTAGTAAATGAAGGGGTTCATTCCCAAAAATAATTTGTGAGGTTAATTTTTATAAAACTAATTACATTTTCAAGTACAGTAGATTTCTGTGATGTAAATTTAGCTATATTTGAAAAAAATTGTATGAAGCATAAATTAAAAAGAAAAATTACCCGAGAAATATCCAGTTACAGTATGTATATATGAAATGCTTCATATTAAGTTGGAGAGAGCAAATTCTTGGGAGTGTGAGTAAACAGTGTGATGAGGTGTCACTTACCCCTCCCTTCCTCCCAGATAGTTCATGCATGTATCTTCCTCCTCTGAGACATCAGCTTTGGCCTTTTGGAGCTCCTATATATGAGGTCAAATGTAAACTAATCGTAAACTTGGGTAAGATAAAGCAACATCCCAATTGTAGCCTTTTACATAGGCTACTATCTGTTTTAAAACAAATGGTAGGAAGGGAGTCTACAATTCTAGACTGGCAAGCCTAGTTGCAAGAGGTACATGCCTTCGTCAGGTCAGCGAGTCAAGTAATGTGAGGTATTCACTGAGCGAATTAATCATTTCTTGTAGGATTTTCTTACCTAATTTTTTACTTTGGTAGGGACTTCCTGTATAACAATTCATCAAAAATCCCACTTTTGTTCCATAATAACCATGGTACGGGTGGGGTTAGAACTCCACGCAAGTGCATAAGCCACTGGGCCAGTTGTCCCAGTGGCTTATGCACTGGCCTGGAGTTTTACAACTCACTGACCGTGGGTTCTAACCTCACCCATACTGTGGTTTGTTTGCGGTTGTGTTATTACGATTTTGTAAGTCTTGTTCCATACTGTTTTGTTGCTGCTTTCAATTTCCTGCATTAGGCTACCTTTTCTTGCATGTTATTTAGCATGAAAATACCCTATATTTTGTTCGTGTCTTTTATTTGATTGATAAGAAATAAAAGATAAGTAACATTCAGTACAAGAATGTGCTTTATTTTTTAAGTTTCAACTGTAACTTTATTCAAACTGTTACAAAAAGTGTATTATTGTTAATGGGTTTTGACGGCTTGACTCTGATAAATTTAATTAACTGGGACCGTAGAGAATGGAGTCACTTGAAATGTTTAAACAAAAGTGGTTTAACTTTTGAGGTGTTAAAAGTTAAGATGTTGCGGCCACATTATCAGTTTTATGTACTAATAAGTACACTGCTAAAATTTAGAGAAACTCATTGCTGTTTAGAATGCAATATTTTTTGGTAGTTTTGAGATTTGAGTAATCAGAAATTAATTCATATGAGCTCCTGTATGATATAAGTATTTTTCTGAAGTGTTGTTATTTTGTTATTTGTGTTTCAGGCCCTGAAAATGAGACAGGACTATGAGAATGTTTATGTGAATGACCATTCATCTGTTAAAGAATGCCAAAAGTGAGTATTATTTGTTTCTGTTTTGTGGGAAAATGACACAGCATGAGTTACAGATACTGAACCAGTAATTCCTGTTCTGTGGCAGTGAAACATAAGCTAATTTCCTATGCATTCATCCTATAACAGATTCTGTTTCATACTTAAATCATTTAACTACTGTACAGACAAACATGCACGAATAAAGTATAAAATGAGAACCTGTTACAAGGATCATTACATAGGAAATTGCCATACACAAGACTTGCACATATGCCCTAACTCAAGCACAGTTAAAATTGACTTCATGTTGATATACAATACTTTTTATGTGTTGCTCATTTTCATTTGAGGCATATGGAAATAAAGGGATGAACAGGACAAGAAAAATGTATGTTATTTGCATAAAACAGGTAAATGTTGTATTGATGTTTAGCCAAGAATTTATTAACTCCTTGTTGAGCATGCTCTTGCCAGCTCTGCACTGAAACCTCTGCTACCCCTATGCTAACTCAGCATGCCTCTTTTATATCAGTTTGCTTTCGGCTTTGTGTCTTAGTGTTATTGCTTAACAGCATGGTTATCTTAATCTTGTAAATTCATAAGTGTTTAATGCCAAATTATTTATATGGATTGTTTGTTCATTTGGAAGCAGATGCATATGTATGCCATAAAAAGAGTACTGTATATTAATTATGCTAGGCAAAATCCATGGTGATCTGTTTACAGTTATTGACTACTGTACAGTATGGTGTTGTCTTGCATGTCTATGCTTCTCCACATTATTCTCTCTCTTTTCACTTGTCTTGTCTTCTATATGTACTAGAAGTGAATTATAATATTGATCTGCTAGTTTACTATTATAAAAAAATGTACAACCTACTACTTTTGGTGCATTGAAGTGACCAGTAATTTTGGCTCAAACTATCTTGATGTAAATATAAGTAGTAGTCTCAAGCAATTTAACTCTTAGAAATATAGCAAAAATTTTAAAGAGACTGATTATATATGTATTTTTTATGAATTTTATTTGTAGTTACTACAGCTGTTTGTGTTATTTTTTACTATTAAATTGGTTGTTGAGTACTGTGCATTTATGACACTACTTCCTTGTGTCTGAGGAGCATTTGCACAACATCTTGCACAGCACAGTGCTGCAACAGGCAAACATTCACTTGTGTATTATGAGCACTTCAATTCTTTCTGCACAGCAGGTACCTTGTACTGTATATGGTGTATTTTGGATTATTTCCACTATTCAGAGTTTAAAAAGTATACCTTACTTATCAGTTGATAGGATGCCATGCACAGATAGTAGAACATCAACATGTAGCACATGCAGTTGATTCAAAATAAGATTATCTTCTCATGTATATATGAAAAATCGGCATAATTTTTTAACGTTTAGCTGTAGTTTTATATCTAAATTTTTTCTTGCCTGATAAAATTATGTTGTCTGCCTTTGTATAATTTTTCGCTGCCACCATTAATTATATTAAGTCTAAAAGTGATCGAGTTGTAAAACGTTGAGCTTGCCATTTTAAAAATTATAGGTGATATTGCTGTGTATGTTGTTTTAAATACAGTAAACCCTTGTGCAACACAGTAGCTACCATCTTGACAACCACCATATATAATACTAAAAAAAATAAACATTGCTATACTTACTTGAAGACCTTATGGAAAAAATAAGGTTAGGTTCCTGGTTTACAAAATAATAGTGTTTTTTCTTGACACATTCTGGCAACCTGAACTGCTTGTAGACAGTTGCAAAATTATTAGGCTGAGGTGAAATACTGTCGTGAGTATATGGATGTTGTTGAAGTGACTTTAGATGTTGGCAGTTGTTGTGATGGGTTAGTGTTTTTGTCATGTCTCTGCACTAATATCTTGCATTGATCTGTAGATCAGTTCATGGAGTAAGACAATATACACAGGTAAGACATTTACTGAAAGGAGGTATTTTGCCTAATTAGGATGAAACAGCCACCAATGACAAAACTTTTCCTTCAGTAAATAGCTTGACTGTTAACATGACTTACGAAATCGTAATGACACGATTGCAAACAAACCATACCCCGGCTGGGATTGAACCCGCGGTCAGAGAGTCTCAAAACTTCAGACCGTCCTAGTTGGACGAATCTTATTGTGGCTAGCTGGTCTAGTGGCTAACGCGACGGTCTGTAGTTTTGAGACTCTCTGACCGCGGGTTCAATCCCGGCCGGGGTATGGTTAGCTTGACTGTTCATATGCATCTCATGTTGCAATCTGTTTGTATTAACATAGTTGACAGGTACTGTAAAGAAAACACTTCTGAACATTCTTTTCAGCACCAAGCAAACATTCTTTTAGGATTGGTGGTGTGAGTTGTTTCTCCTCTTCCTGCTTTATTTCCTCTTCCACTTTGATCATCATCTGTATTTTTTTCTCATTTGGGTCTGTGGTCTCATTTAACACTTTTTCTATATCTGGCATGTTCTTGAAGCCCTCAGTGTCTAAACTCTTTGCTTATTATTTTAATCACATTCACTTGATGCCTGAGTGTAGGGAAAACCTTGAAAGATATAGAACACAGCACTCCATGGTTCCCTCACACTGCATTTATAGTATCTTGGCTCATTTTATTGTGTGCTAAATTTACATTTATATTTGAGCTGGTGATGATGAATAAAAGGTCACATTCTGTTTTTGCTCAAATCCTTGATCAACTTCTTCATAGTTTTGTTGATGTAGTGGCACTTTGGTCTTCAAAACCATTTTGATCTAAGGATTAAGTTTCAGAAGTCATTTGGGATCTAGTAAACATGACCTTTACATGTGGGCTGCCTTCCTGTAACATCACATCACAGGAACATTCAGTACAAGATTGTGTCAGAAATGTGTCTGTTATGAAATAAAGCAGTCTGTGAACCAATCATTGAACAGAGAGCACTGTCATCCCTGCCTTCTTGTTAGACTGCCAGAGGACAATTTAAAAAATCTTTCTCATTACCTTTTAAAACAGTGCACCAGCATAGGTTGTGCATATAATCTGCTAATGAGTTGGTGTAGAGGAGCAAAGTCTCTCTCTTTGGTGGCTTTGAATATAACTATAATCCTCCTTGTACTTGTTGATGTAGATTCTTTATGGCATCTACTTTTAGAATTACTCTAATTCAAGGACATTGAGGACTTGGCCAGGGTTGTGATTGTCACCAGAAAACTCAGCAGGGTCTCTAAGTAACTGCATGGTCACTAGTTGCACACTACAAAAATTATTATTTTGAAGTTTGTTGCACTTCTTAAAATTTTTAAACCAACCAATATTAAATTGACACTGCCTTGAAAGTTAACCTATTGACAAGCATTATAGAAAAATGTATGTTTCTTTTTTCTTGAATATGGCTCACCTTGGTTCACTAACATGAGCCATAGCTGTTTTTATAAATCCTTACTTCCATAGATTACTCTCTCTTCCTAATTGTATGAATGGTTGATTCATTTTCAGTTAGGGTTAATAGGCAATGATGATGATGTATGCAGAGTTCAGAAAGAGCTTGGTAAACACATGGAAAATGAGAGAAGATAAATAGTGGCACAGCTTTACCTAAGATGCGGGTTGTTGGGGTGTTGGTACTTGGACAGTACTACGCGACATGTGAACTGTCCTGGCCAGTTTCCTAGAGTAGTGAGCACAATTAAAATTTCTTTTATTTTTTCCCTAACTCAACAGTACTCTGCCAAGAAAGTGCCATGATGTAGACATTACAAGTATCAAACAATGAATCATATTTAATGATAAACAGATTAGAAATAACCATTGTATAAGGGTTTACTGTATGAGATAAAAAATGTGAAATCAATATTGTGTGTGAAGGGAGACATACCTCATAACATCACATGATTTTTGGAATAAAAATTATATTGTAAATTTTTTAAAAAATTTGGATTAGTTGCTATGTACATAGCAAAGCAGTAGAACATCAACAGAGCTCTGGAGATCAATTAAATACTGCATGTTAAAAATGAGCATGTACAAGTCTTGTCCTGTTTGTCTGAGAGAAGCATGTTTCTTCCCTATAACTATTAAGTGTAAGATTCCGAGTCAGCACATTAATGTCATAGCATACACAGAGTTTCCCAGGAGTTTAGATCACCTTCATGCATTTACTGTCATTACAGTGTTTGTGTTTTTATTTGAAAAAAAAAAAAAGCTTATTTTTGGATTTTAGAATAGTGTGCTTAATTTAGTCATTGGAATTATTTTTAGATGCCTTGAGTTTTTTTGTATTTATTTATTATTTTACAATACATTGGTAAAATTCTTTAATGTTCAATCCCAAATCCATCCCTGGATGAGTTAGTCAATTGGTAAAACACAAGGTGTGCGTGTGTGCATGGGTGCATGCTGATTGTGTGGCCATCGGTTGTGTTTCAGCAACAGTGGTGCTATTTGGAATGTTGGGAGCAGCAGCCACAGCAGCAGCAGCAACAGCAGCAACAGCAACCACAGCAGCAGCAGCAACGGGGTCATCACCCTTCGCCACCCCCCAGAACCCCCCCTTCCCCATAACCCTGATCCTGGAGGGGGCTACATTCCTCCCAACTACCCCTCCCAAAATTCCCACGCTCACGTCCCCACCTACAGGTTGGTGTCCCAGCCTTGCTTCACTGCCTCATCCAGGGCTCCTTGAGTTCCTTACTAAGTCTAGTTATGGAGAGAGGAAGAGAGATAGGATTTGCCAACTAGTATGGTGGCTATCTTGTTGGTGGCTATAATCAGAAGGAATTTTTACGTTACAGTACATTGATTTTTAATGTTTTTTTGCTTATTGGAAGTAGATATAGAGTATATTAATTATCTGACAACTTTGAGACTTTGACCTTTTGATTTAAAAAAAGAAAATTGCAGTAAGACACAAAAAAAATCTATGGGATATTAAAACAAAAAATGGTATGTTCTGGTGTGCATCAAAGCTGGCCAGGTCAGATCAGGATGAATGAATGTGTATACCTTGTAATTGCTTGTTTAAGTTTAAGGTGCAGTGAACTCTTGACTTGTGGTTTGGCCTTTTTAACATTTTTGCCATCTGACATGATTAAGCCCTGATATTTGTAATTTAAAACCCCAGTATATAGTCTGTGTCTGTTGTGTCATGGCTGAGCTCATTTTACTTCACCATTCTTACATTGAAAATGTTTCTTGATTTCCTTGTAGCTCATTTGGTCATGTAATTTTCAAGCATGCTACCTTATTCTTGTTGCATACCTCATAAAGAGTCAGTCCATTTCTTCCCTTCCTGTGCCCTATTGTATTTTGTATGTAATTTTTGCATTCTATATTTGTCTCATTCCTCTCATTTGAGGTACCAGTCTTGATGCACTTCTTTGCACTCTCAGATTTTGCCTTGGTTTTACTAGGTGATTGTTCCACATCAGCATTGCATACTTAAGCTCTTTTTGATTTCTGAATGCCTCACTTGTATATTTTTTAGTTTAGCTTGTAGTGCTAAAGTTGTTGTATACATGCAGTTCAGTGAATACAGTTTAAGTAATGATTATTCCTAGGTTTCTTATTTAACTGTGTTCATGACCTTTTTTCAAATTGTACTTTGTTTTTGGTCTTGGTTTACCTTTTTCCCAGCTTTATAACTTTGCTTTTGTTGTTGATTTCTGGTATCCATTTATTAAGTTTTTTTAAGTCTGTCTGAAGTGTGTTCAAACCGTCCTGCGGCCTTCGTCTATACTCTTTCATTTGTATTCTCTTCATTATTTAGTTCTCATTGACAATGATACGTAGGAGATAATTCCTCCTGTCAGTTTTCCAGACAATTTATAAATCTACATTTCATATTTCACCTTACTGAAAGAGGTTGAAACATTCAAGGAGTTAATCGATTTATTTTCTCCACATATAGACTAAGTGTATATCACCTCCTTTTTGGTATAGATCTCGATTGGGATTAAATTGCTACTCGACTCATTCTCTCGAGGTGCTTGTTAAATTCATGTTATTCATATCTTCTCAGTATAGAGTAAGGTTATGGCTTATTTATTCCCACTTATTATGTATATGGTTTGAAGTAAATTTGTAGAATTCTTATAACAATGCAGACCTGGACTTTGGTTAGGTGATAATCTAAGTTTAAAGCCAATTCCATTATTCTAGTCAACCATATTTTTAACTATTTTGCTAGTATGCCTTCCATTCTATCAGTTGAATATAAGAAATCACCTGTTCAACTATTTTAACTACCCTATAAAGTGCACAGAAGTTGGTAATTTGGCCAATTTTACACAATTAAAAATAATTTAAAAATAGTCCATAATAAACAGTAAAGACATTGTTGCCACTAAAACATTTCCTCTGTTCATTAATTATGTCCTCAGGGCTCTTCTATATTACACTTGCTTTCATTAATTATGTCCTCAGGTCTCTTCTATATTACACTTGCTTTCATTAATTATGTCCTCAGGTCTCTTCTATATTACACTTGCTTCATTAATTATGTCCTCAGGTCTCTTCTATATTACACTTGCTTTCATTAATTATGTCCTCAGGTCTCTTCTATATTACACTTGCTTTCATTAATTATGTCCTCAGGTCTCTTCTATATTACACTTGCTTTCATTAATTATGTCCTCAGGTCTTTCTATATTACACTTGCTTTCATTAATTATGTCCTCAGGTCTCTTCTATATTACACTTGCTTTCATTAATTATGTCCTCAGGGCTCTTCTATATTACACTTGCTTTCATTAATTATGTCCTCAGGTCTCTTCTATATTACACTTGCTTTCATTAATTATGTCCTCAGGTCTCTTCTATATTACACTTGCTTTCATTAATTATGTCCTCAGGTCTCTTCTATATTACACTTGCTTTCATTAATTATGTCCTCAGGGCTCTTCTATATTACACTTGCTTTCATTAATTATGTCCTCAGGGCTCTTCTATATTACACTTGCTTTCCTTGTTGAATTCATAATTACACAAATATTGAAAATTTACTCTGTATCTCGGATAATTAAATATAACCAGGAATGATTGGTCATAGTTTATAGTGTCCCAATAATCAGACTTATTAAAAATTCATAAAACAGACTGGGGGTGTAGGGGAGGTCTTACCCATCCTCAGGAAATTTGGAAAAAATCAAATATTTCCACTAAGCTCAATTTCAAGCTACTTCCTGTTTTGAAACCTACTAAAATTATCTTTGTTTCGGTATTATGTCTTCCATTCTGTCAATACCAAGAAACACTCAAAACCATAAAAACCATCCAAGAAAACACCTCAAAGTTGCTATTTTAAACCAAATTCAGTAGGTAGTAGGTTGGTAGACAGCAACCACCCAGGGAAGTACTACCATCCTGCCAGATGACTGTGAAACAAAAACCTGTAACTGTTTTGCATGATGGTAGGATTGCTGGTTTCTTTTTCTGTCTCATAAACACGCTAGATAACAGGGATATCTTGCTACTCATACTTACACTTTGGTCACACTTCACAGACACGCACATGCATATATATATACATACATCTAGGTTTTTCTCCTTTTTCTAAATAGCTCTTGTTCTTCTTTATTTCTTCTATTGTCCATGGGGAAGTGGAAAAGAATCTTTCCTCCGTAAGCCATGCGTGTCGTATGAGGCGACTAAAATGCCGGGAGCAATGGGCTGGTAACCCCTTCTCCTGTAGACATTTACTAAAAAAGAGAAGAAGAAAAACTTTATAAAACTGGGATGCTTAAATGTGCGTGGATGTAGTGCGGATGACAAGAAACAGATGATTGCTGATGTTATGAATGAAAAGAAGTTGGATGTCCTGGCCCTAAACGAAACAAAGCTGAAGGGGGTAGGAGAGTTTCAGTGGGGGGAAATAAATGGGATTAAATCTGGAGTATCTGAGAGAGTTAGAGCAAAGGAAGGGGTAGCAGTAATGTTAAATGATCAGTTATGGAAGGAGAAAAGAGAATATGAATGTGTAAATTCAAGAATTATGTGGATTAAAGTAAAGGTTGGATGCGAAAAGTAGGTCATAATAAGCGTGTATGCACCTGGAGAAGAGAGGAATGCAGAGGAGAGAGAGAGATTTTGGGAGATGTTAAGTGAATGTATAGGAGCCTTTGAACCAAGTGAGAGAGTAATTGTGGTAGGGGACCTGAATGCTAAAGTAGGAGAAACTTTTAGAGAGGGTGTGGTAGGTAAGTTTGGGGTGCCAGGTGTAAATGATAATGGGAGCCCTTTGATGAACTTTGTATAGAAAGGGGTTTAGTTATAGGTAATACATATTTTAAGTAAAAGAGGATAAATAAGTATACAAGATATGATGTAGGGCGAAATGACAGTAGTTTGTTGGATTATGTATTGGTAGATAAAAGACTGTTGAGTAGACTTCAGGATGTACATGTTTATAGAGGGCCACAGATATATCAGATCACTTTCTAGTTGTAGCTACACTGAGAGTAAAAGGTAGATGGATACAAGGAGAATAGAAGCATCAGGGAAGAGAGAGGTGAAGATTTATAAACTAAAAGAGGAGGCAGTTAGGGTAAGATATAAACAGCTATTGGAGGATAGATGGGCTAATGAGAGCATAGGCAATGGGGTCGAAGAGGTATGGGGTAGGTTTAAAAATGTAGTGTTAGAGTGTTCAGCAGAAGTTTGTGGTTACAGGAAAGTGGGTGCAGGAGGGAAGAGGAGCGATTGGTGGAATGATGATGTAAAGAGAGTAGTTAGGGAGAAAAAGTTAGCATATGAGAAGTTTTTACAAAGTAGAAGTGATGCAAGGAGGGAAGAGTATATGGAGAAAAAGAGAGAGGTTAAGAGAGTGGTGAAGCAATGTAAAAAGAGAGCAAATGAGAGAGTGGGTGAGATGTTATCAACAAATTTTGTTGAAAATAAGAAAAAGTTTTGGAGTGAGATTAACAAGTTAAGAAAGCCTAGAGAACAAATGGATTTGTCAGTTAAAAAAGGAGAGGAGAGTTATTAAATGGAGAGTTAGAGGTATTGATAAGATGGAGGGAATATTTTGAGGAATTGTTAAATGTTGATGAAGATAGGGAAGCTGTGATTTCGTGTATAGGGCAAGGAGGAATAACATCTTGTAGGAGTGAGGAAGAGCCAGTTGTGAGTGTGGGGGAAGTTTGTGAGGCAGTAGGTAAAATGAAAGGGGGTAAGGCAGCTGGGATTGATGGGATAAAGATAGAAATGTTAAAAGCAGGTGGGGATATAGTTTTGGAGTGGTTGGTGCAATTATTTAATAAATGTATGGAAGAGGGTAAGGTACCTAGGGATTGGCAGAGAGCATGCATAGTTCCTTTGTATAAAGGCAAAGGGGATAAAAGAGAGTGCAAAAATTATAGGGGGATAAGTCTGTTGAGTATACCTGGTAAAGTGTATGGTAGAGTTATAATTGAAAGAATTAAGAGTAAGATGGAAAATAGGATAGCAGATGAACAAGGAGGCTTTAGGAAAGGTAGGGGGTGTGTCGACCAGGTGTTTACAGTGAAACATAAAAGTGAACAGTATTTAGATAAGGCTAAAGAGGTCTTTGTGGCATTTATGGATTTGGAAAAGGCGTATGACAGGGTGGATAGGGGGGCAATGTGGCAGATGTTGCAAGTGTATGGTGTAGGAGGTAGGTT